AGATGAACTAAAACAGATACATCAGTACAACCCAATGGAACATAACAGTAAGCAAAAGAAAGAAAGAAAGAACATAAATGGAAGAGTATAGCCTCCACTGAATCGAAAGGACCTAGATGACTCCACTCCCCTTACTGCTCTTCTCTCTTAGCCCTGCAATTCTTGAATTCCAAAGAGTGACAGTGGGCTGATCTAAGTACAGCATGATCAGGCATTCAGACATCTTGAAATTTCAGACATTCCGTGACTTCCAAAGCCACCATAAAATGTATGTTGATAATTTTATTCTGTCCTCTGAAATTGTTCTTCTGTCAACGGAACATACATTTCTGCAAAAATTGTTTTTGTTCATCTTCTTTTTTTACCCAATTTGCACATTTCAAATCGACCGAGCTGTCTTTGGTACCATACATCCCGTCGCCCAAAATTTTCCTTAATAAATTTCATCAACCACTTCTGCGGCCTATGGAGATCTCTCCACACCGAAGTCTTCCGACAACAGAACGTGAAAAAGACGTTGGAGCAAGGATCGCTTGCCGACGTGAAGAAAGTACAAAGAGCACCGATAGCGTCTCCGTGACATCTCCGAAAAAAAAAGACTCCGGCCAACAAAGGTAGATCATACTCCTCTTTAATACGGTAATTGAAACGTAGTTTTTCTCATTCTATATGTAGGCTGCAAAATTGTGGTCTATGTGCGTCCCAAAATTAATTTTGATGAATGAGTGGTAGAAAAAAAAACGTACAAGAATGGTTTTGTTGCATCGTTCTTTTGGGGGTTGTTACTCCATCAGACTTGGCTTTAGAATTGGTGCAACTATTCCAAATCACCTTGTTCATTATGTTTTATATACATTTTGAACTTGAGAAGGGTTTAGGTTACATTCCCTTGCTATGAAATTGGGGCTCCTCTAGGTAGATGGTAACATGAGGGCACCGGAAAAAATGTTGATGTCATTTCTGTTTATTTCTGTTCAGTATGTTTATTTCTGTTTTGGTTATTGTTGAGAAAAAAATTGGTATAACATCTGACAACATTTGTTGGGTACATGAGGGCTCCTCTAGGTTACATTCCCTTGCTGTTCGTTATGTTTATTTCTTTTTTGGTTATTGTTGTGAAAAAAATTGGTAGGGTAAATTTGGATCTCCACTTCGTTGTAGTTTTATTTGTTAGGGCATAACATCTGACGACATTTGTTGGGTAATTTTGAAACTTCAATTCCAAGTAAAATTGGAGCATTTCTTGGTGTGTAGAATGTAGAACAAATATGATTTTGTTTTATGTACCTCCAATTTTTAAATTTATTTTTACATGTGAAGAATATCATACCACATTGTAGTTTGTTGTTATCTGTCATAATTGTAGATGTCATATACCGGTGGTATTGGTACTTTAACTGATAATAGTCAAGGAGACGCGAAATGGCCTCCCAAAAATGAAGCCGCATTTGTGAGTGTCCTGTTGGAAGAAGTCCAGTTGGGAATCCGTGTAGCCGGTAAGTTCACACCCAACCAATGAACGACCATTATTGGCAAGTTCACAGAGTAGTGTCCTACTTTCTATCCGTATAAACTCATCTAACTGCACAGTAAGTATCAATGAATGAAAGTATATTGAAGAAGGTTTCATAACATAGATACCAACGCCACCGGATTGGGTTGGGATCCAAATAAAAAAATGATTACGGGGACCGATGAATGCTAGAGACACTGGACAGAGTATTTTTTACACACCTTTTAACATATAACTTGTTGTCTATGTTAAAAATTGCTCATCTGACGAATGAGTGTTCTTTGCTTGAGTTTATTTGCACATATTATTGTTGCATGTTTACATTTTTATTGCAAAATATTTTATTGTAAGGTAATTTGATTTGTGGTTGTATATGTTAAACAGATTGATCATTTCATGAAGGTGATTTGCAAAATTATGTTAGTGGCCTTTGTTTGTTTAGAAATATTTTCATCACGTAAGTTTATTGGTGCTGTTGCTGTTGCTGTGTACTTCTCCTGTTGTAAATTCCCATTTTATGTCACGTGCATAGGCAAATCGAAGGGATCATGACATGGAGGGTAAGGTGTGCATGCACTACGAAGCACTGACGACTATTTTCTACGGCACAACTGCTACGGGGTCAAATGCGAGAGCATCAACCCAATGGGTGGCCGAGGGACGAAGCCTCGGTGGTGACCCATCCGGAAATATGAGCCCCGAATTTATGGCGGAGGAAGACGACGATCCAATGGTGACCCCGACATCTCACAGACGGCATGGTAGGCAGAAGCGGTCCGTTCGTCCAAGGAGAGGCACAGAGTCTAGTTTCGACACGACCATGTATTTGTTGTCAGACTTGAATGTATCCCATAAGGAAAGGAACAACAAACCCCCAAAGCTAACGACAATGGAACGAGCCATGTGTGACCTTCAAGCAATGCCGGATATGAATCCTTATGTCTTCACATTTGTCTGCAAGAAGTTTCGGGATCCCACGAATCGAGCGATGTTTGCGGCAATTAATAATGACGAGAGACGTCATCTTATTATTAAAATGTGGCTTGATGAGAGCCCCGATGATGAGTGAAGGGGGGTGGTGAACGTTTTCTTAATTGGTCTTCATATTGTTGGCCTTCTCTATCTTTATATTCTCTTCAAGTGTGCTCCGTTTCACTTTGTTTACAAGCTACATTTGTACTGCATAATTAAGTTACAATTTGTTTGTGAACATTATATATATGTTTTTAGCAAATACATTTATTTGTAGGATGTCTTACGTAGACGATAGTGACACATACGAGGAAGACAACGATGATTTGCTTAAAAGACATTGATAGTGATTTGGAGCCGGTCGAAGACAATGATCCCTTGGAAACATCCTTAATGGTGGNCAATTTCAACAACTTGTAAACATTTTCGAAACTTCATCGTCCGCATTTCCCCCATTAAGAAGAACACCGTACTAAGAATCCACCTACACGGGTTTGGACTGGGTAAATGAACTGTTAGTTGGAAATCCTCGCCACTTTAAAGATGCAATGGGCATAAATCAATGTCATTTTAGCATCCTTTGTGACGAAATCAAAAGGACAGGATTCCACGAACAAACCAGACAACAAAAAATAAGCATTGAAGAAAGCGTAGCCATTTTTCTACATACAATAAAAGGTCATCAAAGGCAGCCGCGTGCGGCTGAAACATTCAGATAGTCGTGGGAGACAATTAGTCGTCATTGTCACAAAGTCATCAATGCCCTATGTTATCTAGCCCCCGACTACATTCGTCCCCCAAACTTTAACCGTGTTGCACCGTGGATAAGAAATAGTCAGAATTTATATCCCTACTTCAAGGTAAATATATCACTTTATTTTTTAATATTTCCTCTAGCATAATTTTGAACAAATCTAACATGTTGTAGTTGAAATCGTAATTGGTAATCTTATGATTGCATTGGCGCCATTGACGACACTAATATACCAGCGTGGGTGCCGGAAGGACAGTCGTACAGATGTCGGAAAGGTTATCTAGCGCAAAATGTGATGTTGGCGTGTGATTTTGACTTGACGTTCACTTTCGTTCTAGCGGGTTGGGAAGGAAGCGCAAACGACGCACGTACTTTTAATCACACTATTTCGGACCCCAGATAAGGTTTCCCCTTTCCACCACTCGGTAATTCGATCATGACACTATTCATATCATATTCTTTATTCAAATTTAATAACAATCAATTTTTTCAATTCCGATTAAAGCTTTCGTAATATCAAAAGATATGTTCATGCAGGTAAATTCTATGTGGTGGAATCCGGATATGAACCATATCGTGGTGAAAGATATCATCTTTCAGAGTGGTTGGGGTCTAACCAGTTGCCCGACAATACTAGTGAGTAGTTTAACAGACGATATGTCACTGTCCGTAATGTTATCGAACGCAACTTTGGTTTGCTGAAAGGGAAGTTTCCCATCATAAAGGGGTTGATGCCAAACTACAAAGTTCACTCCCAAACCGACATAGTAATAGTTGTGTTCTACACAGTTTTATTCGTATGCATGAACCACTCGAAAACATGCTGCCTGAATTCAGCAACCCAGAATACGTACGACGACATGATCCAGATGATCGCACCAGACCTTTTCTGCTAATAATAATAATTCAATCGCGGCGTTGGTGAGCATTGTGTGTTGCGTGACTCGATAGCCCAAGCGTTGTGGGCGAACCGAAGATAGAACATCCTATGTATGCATGAAATCCGAAGACACCAACAATTGTAATAATGAAACCCGAACGGGAAAAATTTTGGGCTACAATTGACTCGGTGTTTATTTTCTATCTAATTATGCATGTTCTTTAGATATAAATATTTATCGGAGCGTTTATATAGAGCCTACCATGTTGAATAATAATGATAATTGTTATTTCCATAAGTTAAAAAATAATTTTTAATTACATAACTACATATCAAATACTACCATTTATTTTAAATTGAAATAAAGTTCACCAGATAAAATACCTTTTCCCTTTGTCTGTTCACGAACATCACAAGGTTGGGGTTGCTTTATCAGATTTAGATTTCCGACAGTATTGATGTTTTTCAGGCAAAAAAAAATTCCGTGTGGGCAATCAAACATGGCTAAATTCTTGAGAAATGCGTTGCCATGTGAAATAAAGCTTTTTCTTATGGGTAAGTTCACACTACTTGCAAAAGGTACTTTGTCATCCTCCGGGTAATAATGCAAAATGGGGTTCACCAATTGTGATTTTGCAAATCTTTTTTTTGGTTATTCTTTTCATGCATACATTCACGTACACCGTTTGATGGAAAGGAAAAAAGCATGAAATCGGTTCAATTTAATTGGAGCACCTGCCAACATGAAGTGAACGTGGCCTTCATAGTTTAAACATATTAAAATTGGTCCCAAGTTGAATTCGAAAAATAGAAACACAGGTCTTTTGTACGCCAAACACCAGAATATGATTACATGGTCAAGCATTCAATAGCCTTACCCTGAAAAGAACACACTCATGTCCAATTAAGGTGAAAACGCATGTCATGCCCTCGACGATTCCACTTCGGTCCATAAATTCATGCGAATCACTATGTTCCATCAACGCCTTCCCATGTGCTTGGATTATTGGAACATTGTATCGACTTTTTTTACACATTAAAATTGCTCTGCTAGTATCATTAATTTGGTCTTCGATATGCTCCCTCCAAAAACTCATTGGAATAACCTACAATAGTAAAGACAATGAAGTTAATATTTGTTTCGTTCTATGTTACCCAATTTAAAGTAAAACGTGAAACGTACCAAACGTGTCCGTTGTACGTGCATTTTCTTGATATCCACAAAGAATCGATATTGCGGAGGTCGTTCAACGGAATTACAAGTGAACACTTTGACTATAAATTCATATAGACTGTTGCGCTCGAAATACAAAATGTAGTCCCCGCGAATATCTTCCGCTCGTACGAAATAATCCCAACCATCAACAAATTGCAATTGATTTCCCACTTTTACCAACCAAACTTCATAAGTACGGTGCTCCCTAGTAACTATTGTACAATTTACAGTGACATGATTTGTATATTGATGTTGGATTGAGTCGGTCAATGCCTGCATCAATACTTGGACGACTATTCATTTAAGTTAATACTTATATATTATATTAAAATAAACATGTTTGTTCGATCGGGCATATTCATACCAACGTCGGGCTGCTAGCATCAGTAATAATTATTACAAACGGGTCAAACCTACTTGCCATTGCAAAGTACCTGGAAAAAAAATTTGATGGGTGGGAATATTTGGTACGAACGGGTCAGAACAATTTGCATTTTAAGCATAATATATAATGAACGGCACCCTCCAAAATTACCATTTGAGATAAGAAAATAACACCCCTTACGCATAAAAACAATTGAAAATAGTTGGATCGTTCATTATCAAATGAGGTACTATTGCATGCATTCATAATCGTTCCAAATTTAAAATTGA